TAAAAAAAAATTTTGAAACTATGTCAACCATTTCGTTTTTTTCTGAAATATTCGACTGATAGATCCTACTTGAAGTTACTGGATTAGGAGGTCCTGCACTAAAAAAATGTTTCTCTGTCGGAAAATTTATGGGGGGTGATTGAGCTTTACGTTTTTTATTTGCACTAAATGCTGTAGAGGAAGGTCCAGTATTTGTCATCTGATGAACATGTTGCCTGCTAGGAGAAATTGTTTGAGGGCGGCTAGGGAGATGTGGGAAGGTTACTTCGTTGATATTTTCCAATACTTGGAATCTATTGGAGGTTGAAACATGGTTTGAATAAGAGTGTTCTATAAATTCTTTGGCTTCTGTGAAGGGTAGATTTGATGTGGCCATGGTCTTTTTAATTTTTTGTTGCTTCTGAAACGAAGGACAATCTTTTGATGTGGATCTGTGCGAAGAGTTTTTACAGAAAAGACAGTAAGTATTGGTTTCATTACATGTATGTTCATCCTCTTTGACTTGGCCACATATAATACACCTGGAGTGAGTACTGCGACACTGTCCAGAAACATGTCCAAAACGCAAGCATTTATAGCATTGTATTACCCTTTGTACAAATGGCTCAACTTGAAATAGCACGCTGTTTATATAAAGTTCGTTGGGAAGCATATTGCCATTAAATGTGACAACTGCCATTTGCCTAGGAACTAACTGATGAGTGCCATCACTAACAATTTTTCTCTTTAGACGCTTGACCTCCAGTACGTTTATATCAGAAATTATATTTTCTTTTAAATATTCCTCACTAAACTGAGTATCAACACCCTTGATTAAACCCTTTCTTATTAATAAATTATTTGGCATGTATGCTTTTAGATTCTCTGCTGCGAGTTCAGTGTTACAAACTAAGTGATTAGCATCGTTCAAATTTTTGAGACCTACTTTTATACGATTTAAGCCGACGCGGCTAATAGTCGTTATTTTATCATTCAATTTAAGGTTTTTGTGGAGTATATGTCCTACGTGAAGCGGATGTAGTCTGCCAATATTTTGGCTGTTGGTCTTCTCAATAAACACATAAATATTATTATTTGAGTAATACTTTGCGTTTTCAATCTCAAACAGTCGTGGTTGTTGTTGTTGTTTTTTTTCTGAGATGGTATGCCGGTCCTCTGTTATCGCAGCGTCGTATTCGCTCGAGTTGACGCTGGAATTTATTTCACACTGAGGAGAATCTTCACTAAATGTTAAATCATACACAGCAATGTTCACATTAGTGTCACTACCACTGGGGCCTCCCACCCCTGTAGGAGGTGGAGGCATATTTAGGAAATGTATTTAATTAATCTATATAGAACACGGTAATCCCCGCTAACTATATTATATGATCGCTCCGATACAGGTACGTCTTTCTTGTAAGACAGCCGAAGCGGAACTCCATCGAGCAGATACTACGGTGCCACCTCCAGTTCTCTGCAGTGATGCCACCGGCCAGTAAAGGAATTATGGTACGATGTTGCCAGAATTATCAATTTTTCTTCAAAATTATGTTACAAATAGTGTTCCTTTAAGACAAAAAATACACATAATTAATATAGGTTCTTTAATGTAAAAATCTCATAAAAAAATGGAACATTTGGGAAAATCAAACAAACTCTCGAAAAATACTACAAGATATACCTAACTCGAAAACATAAAAAACATTATTCAGGTTCAAAATGAATATCAACAGTTTCATTTTCATCTTGAGCGACATGTTTATAGGACGTTATTCTATTAATCATATTTTGAGTAACATTAAACTTATAACATTCACGATTTACACTTTGAGATGCCAATAAAAGTGAATTTACTGAATCACTGTACAAGCGATTTCGGACATCTGTTTTGATTAAATTTACTTTTGAAAACATTCTTTCGCATGCGGCATTTGAATGAGGAATTACTAATAAATCTAATACAAAATTTCCCAATTCTTTAAATACGTAAACATCAGACATGTCGTGAATTTGGGAGATTTTGTACCAGTATTTATCGATTGATGTTTCATCCTTTATTTTATCACTGAAATTTGGTTCTGACTGGCAATACATCCGCCACTGATCATCAATTTTTTGTATTTGTTCAATATCTTGAGGATCTACAATTCTGGGTAGTAACTTAATTAATGGAAAAAGCGATGCTGGTTTTGGTTTAGAATACCCTTTTTCAAAATATTTTCATTAAAATCAAACCGTTTTTTCATTTCATTTGCAGAAGTTATTAAAAATTGACGGCACCGCATGTAGAAATCTTCTTTTTCCTTTTGACTTAATTTATCAATGTTCTGAAGTACGCGAACACCAAGGTATATCTGTTTCAAGTCAATGAACTGACTAGCATTGTTGGGATCGATTTTATCTATTTCGGTTTTATGAATATAATTTGGTTGTAAATAGCTTAAACAAATTTCTTTATAAGTTTCACAAACTACATCATAAACGTGTGCAATTATGACACGCTCACTTTGAAAGTATTCATTTAATTTTACAAATTTTGGTAAAATCCAATGAAGAAAAAAGAAGAAAAGTTTTGTTTCCATATCATTAAGTCTATTGGCAACAACTTCTGAAGCTTGCAGTCTATGTTCGGTCCATTCTTTAACAAAATATAATTGAAGGGGATTCCATTGCTCAATTATCCTTTCCACTACCATAAGTAATGAAAGCCACCTAGTTTGTGAAGGACGTAAAATTTTGTGAGGCTCCACATTACAAAATGTCTGAAATTCTGTAAATTGTGCTTGCCGTTTGGAGCTATTTTTAAAGTAACCAAAAATATTCCTGGCTAAATCTTCACAATGACGGGGCAAAACTTTACAAGCCTCACTGGCACAAAGATGTAAAGAGTGGCAGATGCATTTTTGTACTATAATGCCAGGAAAATTTAGTTTTAACCTACTTACTACTGAGTTATTGGCACCAAACATAGTGTTACAACCATCAGAACCAAATCCTATAATATTTTGGAAAGGTATATTGTTAGACTCAAATAAATCCATAATTTTTTTATAAAGAACTTCTGCAGTCGCCCCTGTATTTGCTTCATCTGGATTTTGATTTGAAAAACATTGAACCAAATTTAAAAATTTTGTAGTTACCTCATTTGTTTTTTCACTAAAGTACCTAACACATACACATATATTTTTTACTACACCTATGTCTGTAGATTCATCTACTAAAATGCTAAACTTTTTTGCTTTTAGTTCATCGATTAGTTCTTCAAAATGAGATTTGGCTAAAACATGTTTTATAACACCTGTTGCTTTGGTTCTTCCCATCTGCATTCCTTGGGCAATTTTCGAGTCCGGAAATATGTCTTTTAATAAAGGAATCAGATGATCACACAGCTTGATGGGTAGATTATGCTCTGATATTAATGCAGCAATTTTTACTTCTGCCCTACTCACTTGACCACTAGCTTCGTTTTTATTAGAAAGCATAGTAGAAATTTTTGGTTGATTTTTCACAATCACCTTTACATTTTTTAAATGTTTAGCTCCCTTACTGTGATTTTTCAATACAGTTAAATCTGCTTGAATTTCACTATCACAAGCAATACATTTTGCTCGAGTGGGTTTTTCTAAAAACAAAAATGCATATCATTAAAAGTATAAAATGGTTTTATGTTATTTTTTCTACCTTTAACAGCTTTCAACCATCCTTTGAAATGAGGATTGCTTTCCCATTCACATCTATATTTTTGTGGTCTATTTTCTCGTCTGTTTACGTTTTTAAACTTTAGTCTTTTTGCCTCCCTTTCTGAATCCGAAGAATCGGAGTAATCATGATGATCCCCTTTGCTGGTACTGGCCATTTTATTTCACTGTTTGATCACATCAACACACATTAATAAGGACTCATTCGATCAACTACTCTTGCTCGTATTGAAAAAGAAACAATGAGGATTAGGGTATTCCCCTGCGTAGACTCAAATTCACCGAGACTCGAGTTCCGTAATATTTACATAGATGGCGGTAAGCTTGATTTTTATTCTAATTCCATAATAACCATGCTATTAACTGAAAGAGGTCAGCACTAATAATTATTATCCTTTTTGTTACGTTGCTTTGGTTGCATACAATTAGAACCAATAATTTTGAAAACATAGTTATAGGCTGGGAGATGGAAAAATAATATGTTACAATTATCAATTATGTTACATCTTTTTATTTACTGTATATTTCAGTAGAAAATATGGTACAATTTGATAATTATGTTACAAGTGGCAACACTGGTTCTCTGCGACCACTCCGCCTAGCAGCGTCCGAGCAGTCCGTCGAGAACGCCGAATCGTTCCGTCCCACCGCTGCAGCCAGTCGAGCCGCGCACTCCTGGCCCGACCGCCGTCGCGATCGCAAGCACGCGATGCGATCGTGGGCGCGCACCCCCAAGCGACCAACAGCGTTGGTCAAAGATACCCAAACATCACCGTGCAACTGAAGTGCGAGGGGGCAACTACACGTTTCGATAGAAAGTGTACAATGCACGGGGATGATGTAGTGGTCTCTAAAAACCATAATATCGGAGGTAGACGTCATGGCGCCCAACGTGGGGCCTTCCATGAAGACAGTAATCGAAGACCTGCTTTAAATTATTCGAAGAAACTAGTGTAAATAGACTGAATGCTGTACACCCCTTAGAAGTGAATCATAATCATATTGTGCATGACAATGACTCTATTTATATTGATAATGTGATCGGTATTGATAATTGTGATAATAATGCTTGTGATTTATTGGGTTCAGTGTATGGTGGGGGTGATAACGATTTATTAAGGGGCCGATATTCTGCGCCAGGTGACCGCCTGAGCATTCATAGTGGATACAGCAGTGTCGCATAGAGTTTGCAGTATCAGGTAGGGGACTTGCAAAGTCTAACGGCGGGGATTGCTCGACTTTTAATTAATCAAAACGCGACTCAGTCCCCCCCCCCCGAGGTTACCGCGATTCAGTGGACGCGATTGGCAAGATCCGGAAGTTTTCTTCGGAAAACTGGATCGGTATTTCCGTCGGTATAACATTCCCAGCGAGGAATGGGCGGAAATAGCGTTGGAACAATTGGAAGGCAAAGCGGAAAAATTGTTTGCTCATTGGCGACACTTGAACATTCGTTACGACGATGTCCGTACACGAATTTTAAAAGAATTTGATTCACCTGAAAAGCATTGCGCCAAATTGTTTGGTGAAGCGCAAAAATCCGAGCCAACCGAGATATTTATTGCTGCCAAAGAAGGTCTGTTTGGACGGATCGCTCCGACCACGTCTCCACGTGAACGTGTCGTACAAGTGACAGCACTTTTACGACCGGAGCTGAGGATGATGCTGCGAGCTGTGCCAGTGAGCACATTAGCCGAGCTGTCCAACGTGGCGACCGAGATTGAGAGCGACTATGCGAATTTGCAAGCTGGTGCTTTGGGAGGAAAGGCGGCCCAGTCCTCTTCTGCGAAAAAATAGGTCGGCCAGTCACGAAATTCCGACCAACCACCTAGACAGCCAAAGTGTTGGACTTGCGAAGGAGCACATCAGCAGAACCAATGTCCGCTGAAGCAACCCAAAGGGACGAATTTTCAACGTCCAAATCTTAACCCCAACCAAAAGCAGTCTGAGAACAAGTCATTTCCTAGGCAGAACCCTCCAGAGAGAGTGGCTGCCCAGTCGGAAATGAGGACAAAGGGCCGGCAGAGCCCTGCGTCAAAAGGGCGGTCTAGTACGACTGATTCCACCCGTAGCGGGGGACGCCCTAAAAACCATTGCCGTAGGTGTACTCCTCCGAGAGAGGAGGATACACAGATGAGATGGCCAAGGCATACTCCTCCAAGGGAGGAGGCTATGCAAGCGGAAATCTGGACAAGGGGTCAAAAGAGCCATAAGTCTGAAGGGCGGTCAATGCAGACTTTATCGCCTCATGAAGAGGGACGCCCAAAACATACACAAAAAGCTCCCGAAAAGCAGAGTCCTCCAGCGTGAGCGCCTGCTGGGAGAAGGACCAAGAGAAGGGGCCGACGGCGCCCTAGGTCCGAAGGGCGGTCCAGTGGGACTGAATCCACCCTCAGTGGGGGACGTCCGACAAAAGAGCAAGTAGTGGTCGATGTCCACTTCCCCAGCGAGGGACCTGCTAAGATAGGGAAACCAAACCTAACGAAGGGTCAAGAGTTTTCAAACCTTGACGCCATAGGGTTTGTCGAGTCCCTAAACTTCTAGAACGACAGAGGAAGTTTTGTCGTTGACACTGGAGTTCGGTTGTGACCGGTGAAAGTGTCCGAGCGATCTGCTTGTAGGACGACATCGTGAAACCCGACAGACTAGATTCAATCTAGGTGGCGTGTTGATTTATTCATGAATGAGTAAGATCACGAAAAACACGTAATCCCGTTCAGAGCGAGTCTAGCTACTTGACGGCTGAATCGGCACTTCACCACGAAAGGCCATCTTACCGATTCCATGTTCTCCCAACGACCAAAACCTTGTTAGGATTGCATGCGATCCTACAAGCCTCCTTTCTAGCCAGAAAGTCGTTCTAGCAGAATGTCAGCTGCGGCTGCATTCTCCCTGAAGATCTTCCGTTCTCACCCTAAACTATTGACGAAAACTGTATATCTCGATTTTTCAAGTTGGATACGTAGAGCCCAACCAGCCATGCAACTATCGGGGGGGGGAGTATGAAGTGTTTTGGATGTTTTTCACGATCACCATACACCATCACCACGTATCTCCGCGATAGAGCTCTGATTTTCCCTGTAACAATGTTGTAAAATAAGCCCTAGTTTTACCGTGCAGTGAAACAGTGCGTTTGTGTGCGCTAAACCGCGGTTCCGTTCCAATCGGACTTTGTTGGAAACCGAGATAGACAACAACCAGATTGCTACTCACGGGAGTAGAAGCCACTTGTAAATATTAGAGATAGTTCGTCCTTGCAGTTGACAGGTATCAGAGCACCTGTCACTGTTGTATATAGTTTCGTGTTAGGGTAGTTTTAAGGAAACCAAAAAGATTGGTTGATTTCAGGAAAATTGTTTGTACCAATATGACGTTGCTGAATAGAAATGCCGAGCGCATTTTTGCAACTATTTGGTCAATTATTGTAAAAAGTTGCTGAATAGAAATGCCGAGCGCATTTTTGCAACTACCGGATCAAAGATTATATGACGTTGCTGAATAGAAATGCCGAACGCATTTTTGCAACTACTTGGTTAAAGATTGTACAACATTGCTGAATAGAAATGCCAAGCGCATTTTTGCAATTAGTTAATCAATGATTGTGAGATGTTACTGAATAGAAATGTACACCATTTTTGTAACCATTGAACTGTTTCTGTGAATATTCTTTCTCTTTCAGGCTTTGTAAGCATTATGCGACTGGAACCTTATGTAAACCATTATTATTGTGAAAATAAAGGCTCTGCGTAAAAACGCACCCAAAACAACTTCACAATAGGTGGGGAGGTGTCGCGAATCGCCCTTTCTAACTCACGAAAACGTCAAGTTAGGAAAAAAGTAATCGCAGATTAAGAGTCAGAACGTTCAGATCTTCAGTCATGCCGAGTTTCATCAAAATCGGAGATCATCAAAAATGATCATTTTTGCACAAGAGTAACTAGGGGGCCTTTATGAGAATCAGCGCCGGCGAGCGCGAGCGCTCAGTGTTAGGTCCGCCCTAACGCTTTATAAGCACGCGCAAATTTGATCAGATTAACCCCAGGGGTCAGCCTTATCCCCCCTGCTCTACAACATCTATACTCACGATGTGCCGAAGACAGTTGACACAATGCTGGCCCTATATGCAGACGACACTGCTATAGCCGCCAAGCTTAGACGACCCGAGATCATCCATAGGAGACTACAGGATGAACTGGACCACATCCAGGACTGGTGCGTGAAATGGAAAATCCGCATCAACGTCCAGAAGACGCAGGCAATCTTCATTCAACGAAGAAGGATTGCAAGACCTCTCGAAGCATCCATCTTCGACGAAGATATCCAGTGGAGCGACAAAGTCAAATATCTGGGGATGGTATTTGACAAGACCTGGAAAGCCCACATAGAAGCTGTCATCGCAAAGACCAGAGCAGCCATGGCTCAACTCTACCCATTACTGGGTAGACACAGCCGGATACCGCTAGCGACCAAGCTACGGCTGATCAAGGCCATCGCCAGACCTCAGCTCGCTTACGCCTCCGCGGTCTGGGGGTACGCTGCCCCCAGCTACCGCAAGCGACTTGCTGCTCTAGAGATGAAGCTACTCCGGATCGCCACCAGTGCACCATCCTACGTAAGAAACTCAACCTTGCGTAGAGACCTGCATTGGGACACCATCCACGAGTACATGAGGAAAAAAGCGGAGAAGACCTTCGAGAAAGCTCAGGACCACCCAAACGAGCAGCTACGATTCCTCATGGACTACGATCCGGACGAGAGGCCTCGCAACCGCAAAACCAGGTACCCTAGACCAAGGTCCCAGTTGGCACCCGCTAACTGGAACCTTGACTAAGAGACTAGGAGAACCCGCGGTTGCCCCCCTCCCCCCCCCACGGCGTTGGATGCAGAGGACCAGGAACCACCGGGACCAGGACCAACCAGGACCAGGACCCGCCACGACCAGGACCCACCAGGACCAGGACCCTTCAGGACCAGGAACAACATATTGGTAAGAGGACTTGAAACTCTTGATTTTTCGAAAACAAGAGTTTCAAGAGAACCTAGCAGACCCTCTATCGATGATCGCTTAACGACATCGATAGAATGTGCGAGGTAAAGGGAACCAACCCGGCGTTCCCAGAGACTGAAACACATGAGGAGACGTTGTAGCAGACCGCAGGTCACGCACAACACATGGCCTACCGAGACGCTGATGAGTCGGGCCACGCGGAGGTTTAGGGTTTAGTGGGTATTAAGTGGGCAACCTGGAGTCCCACACACGCCGTAGCTCGGGCTATGGTATGGTGCGTAAACGCATTCCCCCCTCACAAAAAAAAAATCAGATTAACATATCCATTCGGTCGAGCTTGGACATCGGTACATCGAGCAGATACTACGGTGCCTCCTCCAGTTCTCCGCGACCACTCCGCCTAGCAGCATCCGAGCAGTCCGTCGAGAACGCCGAATCGTTCCGTCTAGTGATGTAAGTACTCGGATGATTCAGATACTCGGTTATACAGAATCGGCATACTAAAATACTCGGATGATTAATATGAATGAATTCATTCGTATCAAGGCGGCAAGGCAACACCGACCACTGACGAACGAAAACGAACCGGGGAGTCACCCGATGCAGGGTTGATGCGATACTGCTGTGGTTGACTGGTTGCGGATATCATTTGATTTAATTCAGGTTGATATACTCGTAACGAATAGATCATTTGTATTCTCACTGATTCGGCAAAGAAAATTTCAATCCAGAAGATGGCTCCTGCAATAAAATCTATAGTGTGGACATTTTTTCAAAAAACCCAAGACAAAAAGTTTGCCGTATGCAAATTATGTCAACAACAATTGAAGTACTTTGCCGGCACCAGTAATTTGAAGCAGCACTTAAATCGAAAACACATTATTCAATATAATGAAGAGCTCTCGAAAGAAAATACAATTTCCAGAGACGTAGATGAGAGTGGTGTTAATTTACCAACAGGAGGTGAGTCCCCAAATCCTAGGCAAGTTGAAACTGCTATTGATAATTTGGGTAGCTCTAGTACTCATAGCGTCAGTGCTCCTGTATTGGATCTGTCAAATATCAGGCAACCAGGTGTGGCAGAAGCATCTGGATCCAAAGTGACTAATATTCCGGATCCAGATCCGCCTCGAAATGTGAAAAGAAAGCGCCAGTTGAAGCTTTATGGTGGAACAAATATGAAGGAACTACCAGAGGCACAAAAAAAGAAATAGATTTAAGCTTATTAAAAATGATAGTAAAAGATTACCAGCCACTATCTATAGTGGAAGACATTGGTTTTTTAGATTATTCAAAAAAAATGAATCCTTTATACACAGTGCCGAGTAGATACGTCTTGACAAACAATATTTTGTCAAATACGTATTCCTCGGCAGTTACAGAGCTGAGAATAGTTCTGAGCAATGTGAGATATGTCTCACTCACGACAGACATATGGCAGTCTGATAGCAACCAGTCATATTTATCCCTAACATGTCATTTTATTAATAATTCAAAGCTACAATCAAAAATCCTAGGCGTGAAAGCATTGAGTCATGCTAGTCATACCGGAAAAAATATTGCTTACGATTTAATCAGTTCAATCAACAAATGGGAGCTCTCAAATAAAGTTGTAACAGTAGTTTCAGACAATGGAGCAAACATAAAAAATGCAATTACTGAACAATTACGTTTTCACCACCATCCCTGCTTAGCTCATACACTGAATTTATCTACAAAAGAAGCCCTAAATGGTAATGATGACCTAAATAGGTTCATCATAAAGTGCAAAAATATAGTAGCCCATTTTAAACATAGCGGACTTGCTACTGCTACTCTGAAAAAATGTCAAGAACAAATGAATTGCTCTATACTCAAAGTAAAACAAGCGGTTGACACAAGGTGGAACTCGGTGCTAATTATGATAGAAAGGTTGTTGGAGATTAAGGATCCACTGACAATAGCACTCACGAACCTGCCCTCTGCCCCCGAACCAATAGAGGCATCAGAATGGGTCATAATATCTGACATTGTACCAATTCTGAAGCCCCTCGAATTGTTAACAGTCGAACTTTCGGGTGAACAATATTTAACAATGGCCTCGGTGATTCCACTGATTCGAGGATTACAATTTCATTTACGAAATATTCAACCTGCGACAGATATTGGTTTGTGGCTGCAGAGTAAACTATTAGATGTGATTTCGAGACGTTTTAGCATTTTAGAATCAAATAAAATTATAGCAAAAAGCACTTTTCTCGATCCACGGTTCAAAAAAACAGCTTTTGGATTGGAAGTGAATGCCAGAAATGTCCAGGCATGG